TATATATATACTTGTGTGTGTTTGTGTGTGTGCTTTGGTGCATTTATAACTGACGCACAGATTTTCTACGCATAGGACACAATTACCTTAGAAGACTTTCGCTTTCGTCGCTACCTAGAAGAAAACGGCTATGATACAAGCACAATGGGAAGTAAGGAGCTGCGGGAATCGCAACGACAGAGGGGTGATTCCTCTGGCGGTAGTGCTAGCATTTGAAGGCATACATTCTTGCGACACTGTTGCTGAAACTAGCGTAGCACATGTACTGTAAGCGGTCAATCCATAACGATATTTATTTCATTCATTCTTCTTGCAAGATGGCGCTGTGCGACACGTGTAGGCTGCTATTTTCAGGCAGTGGTGGGATCTGGACCAGTGATGATGAGAATTCCGGTTGAAAGCATGGCTGGGGGGAGGGTCCCCTTTGGGCAGGTATCTATAGTAAAGCAGTAAAGCGTTTAACAAAGGTTACGCACTGCCGGTGTCAGGATGTCAGGGATTAATCGACCACTCGTCCACGGAAAGCAAAACAGATCCCGGGCCACTCAAGACAATTAGGGATGAGAGACGATGTAGAAAAAATTCTTGATGGGTTAGATGGGAGAAGAACTCGTTGGACATGACAGCATGACTGGTTCACATGTTGATAGATATGATCGTCGGGCGAGCTGAGATATATATAATGTAGAAATTGAAGTTGGAAGGGTTTTCGAGAAAGAAAAATGCTACAAAAAAAAAAAAAAAAAAAAAACGATGTAATGCAGATAGGAACGGCATGCACGGAAATAAGAAAAGGGGACAAAAAGGGAGCTGGTGGGAAAGAAGAAAATGAAAAAGGCAAATGAAACAATAAGTATCATATGTATATGTATCCTTCATCCCTCTTGACCGCGGTCTCGCCAGGGGTAGGTATCTGTTTCTTCAATACGCCAACACACCCGAAGACTCGGCTCAAAGCAGGTTCGTCAGTTAATCAAACAAAGCCGCCTCCTCCAGCACGAAGGAAAACCTAGTTGTGCTCATGCTGTCTTTTTCCAGGCACTCTGCAGACCGATCAGTGAACTAACGGTACCGGCCAGGCCTATGATGCCATCATCCAGGTTGACGTAGCCCAATCCGGAGCAGGGGATGGTGATGTCACAGCAATCGGAGACGAGCTGTGTGAGGACAGTAGTGCGTTCTCTGTAGGTGGGGGGTGGGGGGAAGGAACACAGTTAGTAAAATGTGGGGAAGACTAGAACAAAACAAATATATAATTAAAAAAAAAAGGGGGGGGGCGGGGAGGGGACAGGTGGGATAGATGGATGGACAGTTACTAACTTCTCAATCTTCTTCCCTTCAACCACACTCTCGCCATCCTTCTTGTTAATCGCCTTCTCCCTCTCCTTCAGCATCCACAACGAATACACGCCCGCCAGCGCACTGCACAGCAACCCCGTCAACCACGCCTGCTGTGCCTTAGCCTGCAATTTCTTCGCATTGGCAAACTTGCGGATGCCAGCGGAGTCGAGGTAGGATACCATGTCGAAGGACAGGTAGATGCCGTAGCCCAGTTGCCGGCAGATGCCGAGGTATTTGAGCACGGGATCGGCATTGGCGGCTGGCGAGCGCGAGTCTAGCGCTACGGCTGCGGCTTTGAAGTGTTCGATGTTCTTGCCAAAGCGGAGCAGTTTGCGTGTCGTGCCGAATTGCTTCTTGATGGCCTCGAAGGGGGCGATGGCGGATTGGGGGTTGTTGGTACGGTAGAGGTACCAAGCGTAGAAGCGGGAAAAGTATTGGAGGGTGCGGAGGACCTTGTCGCGGCCAACTGGATATTTGTGAGTTTGGGTTAGTAGTTGTTTTGTTATTTATTTATTTATTTATTTATTTATTTGTTTGTTTGCTTTTAGATATGGAGGAGAGGGGATTGGCGTGTTTGAGATGTGTATATGTGTATATATGTAAGTTGTTAGTAAGGGGAGAGAGAGGGCAAGTTGATTCCCTCTTCCCACCACCCCCACCGCCCCGGCGATCTCTTTACACTCTTCTGTAGCTGTCCTGAAGTCCCCCTCCACCGAACAAAACAGATAACGCGAACCGAAGGAGGAGGATTGCCCACAAAGGAACAAAAGAAACAAGGGGGGCAATGGACATACCCGTAGTAGCCACAAATCTCAGGTAATGGGCCACCGTTGGGTGGTGAGCGAGAGCCGTGACAACCATATTGCCGACGTGTGTGAGGGAAAGGGGGTTCGCAAGGGAGGTTAGGATAGGACAACCAACAGCTATCTCCTGGCGCGATGAAGATACAGCTGTATACGCAGAGAGGAGAAGTGCAGAATGAAGTCCAACCCCCAAGAGCTAAGGGGTCCGAAGGGTCTAGATATTAGTAAGCCTCTTCTTTCCTTGCAGAATCCCCGCGTGTAGACCCAAGCGGCCCGTGCAGCACGTGACAGTAACCTCGGCAATCGGTCATGTAGGAATGACGTAAACAAGCTCGGTGTTTTAACTAACTTGATGTAATTCCCAAATGAGCGGTCCAACCTCAACACGCAATTGTGCCACCAATTCACAATAAAAAAGCTTCAAATTCTCTTGAGAGAGAGGGGAGGCTTGAGCTCATGATAGATGCTTTAAAAAAGCAAGAAATATTCTCAATTCATGAAACTGCATGTGTATTTAATGTGTCATTCTCTACTCAAAATATTATCAACTCTATGGCTGGACTGCTTGCATGAATCTACATTCAAATTCAACCAAATTAACCCAGGCTGAAGAGAATAGGCTAGTTGAATGGGTGCTGAATCAAGCTAAATGAGGATTTCCCTCACAGCGAGCATTTGTTGAGGATACAGCCAATTACCTTCTTACTATACAGAATTTCATCCATCTCCATCACTACCTCCTTCCACATTGGCAAGCACTGAGTGTCAAATCTAGTGGCATGTCATCCAGAGCTTCAGACTCACTACCTCAGATGCTGTAATCATGACTGAGTCAAATATGAGGATATAAAGATTATTCAGACTTGATTTAAGATCTTCAAGGCTGCAATTGCTGAGCATGGGATTCTGTCAGAGGATATATACAACTTTGATGAGATTGACTTTGCAATGAGACTCTGCGCTACTACCAAGATTATTACTAGCAGTGAGTGCTACGGATGGGCAAAGCTTTACAACCAGGAAATCGAGAATGTCAATCAATGTGTCAGGATGGTCAGCACCACTATTATGAAGAAGCAATACCAGGATATATATTCAATGTGAATGGGATAGAGAAGCAAAAGCAGAACAGATCTAGATATCAAATCCAATGCGCAGGAGGTCTAACTAGGAATGAAGCCCCAGGATCTTATTATTTCATCTGCTGCACCCGTTGAACAGGCAGTTATTCAACTCCACGAGTCTCCGCCATCTGAGCCTGCATCACATCAATGAGCTCTACAATGCTGCAGCAATTGCGGCACTCTCAGACATACAAGGATAAGATGTCCGCAACCTGGTGTAATTTAATTTAATTGAGTGTTGTGGCGTTGAGATAATTTGATTTAAAATCTAGTCAGTTGGAATACAGTGATTTTGTGATCCGCTCGCTTGGGAATTACGTTAGTTAACTAGTCAAAAAGGGCGGTTACCTACCTCCAGTCATACCTAGGTAATGCCACACACTATTACTTGTGGCGGGCTATTCTAGGTATATGGGTAGAAAGACTGTGTAGAGAACTTGGGCTGTGGTAGTAATTGTGATTGTGTCTAGATACCTAACTATGTACATTTTGGTGTTATCTCAGGGGTTCGAACCATCTGTATGTAGTAGTGACCTATGTGGAATGCATCATGCAAATATATACTCCGTACATCTGCAGTAGATATATATATATAAAGGGGGGGAAAAGAGAGAAAGAGAGGGAGAGAGGGAGGGAGAGAGATCGTAAATAGACAGACCACTTTTCCTCCCTCCACCCCCACTGTAGATATAATGTCCATGGAAAAATGTATGTGGAAATGTCCAAAATTTGTGCAGGAAATGTATACCAACACACCGTAGGCCGTATATATCAGTAACGCAGAAAAGGAACAAACAAAGACTCGAGAGCAACGGCATGGCGTATGCGTGTATGTATGTACAGGGGTAATCGATGTCAAATGTTCAACGACGCAAATGAGAGAAGAAAAAAAAAAAAAAAAGGGAAAGAAATGGTCTGATAGGGAAATAACACTCACAGAAAACGAAAAACAGGGAGACAAAAGAGAGAGGAGAGGAGCGACATGAAGGATATAGAATAATGGAATAAAACACGGCCCTTTCTCCAATCAGTCATATACGCTCACAACGATCTAAAGTGCTGCCGTCTAATAATGAATTACCTTAAAAGAAATTTATATAGCTGGAAAGTATTAAGAGACAAAAACACAAAACCAAAACAGCAAGAAAAAATAACACAAAAACATTGGGCACGTAGCTGGGTAATAAAACGATTCCGTAAGAATCGTGCAAAAAAAGATGACAACAAAAGAGAAAAGAGAGCAACAGCTCTATAAGGGGGAACATATATATAAATATATATAAAAACTCCTGGGGAATTAACACATTTAACACATAAGAACCATGCGTCATCAAGGTCATGATCAGGACTTGAGTATTGTATACCGGGAATTCAAATCAAGAAATGAACCAAGGGCTCACACCCGACAAGCACGCGATCGATGAAGGGGTTCGCTCTCAAGGGAGCCGAAAGAGAACTGAGCACAGTCTCCACCCCAACCCACCACTGCTACCACAGACACTTAGAACCACTGGGGTATGTTGTTGAAGTGGGATATCCCCACTCTGGGCCGTTGGTAGCAACCGAATACGCAGCCGGATCCCACAGGAAATTGCTGGGTTCCGAACCCACAAACCCTCCCTGCGACACAAGCGCGAGTTCATCATCAACGGCCGTGAAAACACTCTGGGCTCTCCACGGGAATAGGGTAAGTGCTACCACCGTTACCCTCTCTGCGAGGGTAGAGTAATGATTATTGAGTCTCGGTGCTGTTGAAGCGGGGGATATCGAAGGACTGTGGCGGCTGGCTTAGTGCCGCGCCGGTCTTGAGGAATGAATCGATGTCCACCGATTGCAGGTTGTGCGAGGATCCTGGCATCTGCTCCTGTGGATAGTTTACGTAGGAGGAAGCGCTGAGACGGTATATACCTGCCTCTGAGCCGTCGCTGACGCTGTGCACGTCTAGTTTGTCCGCGCAGGAGTAGGATATGCCTACGTTGGAGGTGAGGCCGAAATCTTCAACCTCTGAGAGCTCACCGGAGGAGGAGAGGGCAAGGCCAGCGTGGGTAAAAGGATTGGCATTGTTGCTGCTGCTGCTGCTGCTGCTGCTGCTGCTGTTGTTGTTGTTGTTGTTGTTGTTGTTGTTGTTGTTGTTGTTGTTGTTGTTGTTGTTGTTGTTGTTGTTGTTGTTGTTGTTGTTGTTGTTGTTGTTGTTGTTGTTGTTGTCGAAGCTTGCATATGACGGCGGCTGGCTAAATGTGGTGGCGACATTGCTGGGGCTGTAGGATATGCCGAAGGTGGACCAGTCGACTGGCGGCACGTTAAAGTTTGGAGTCTCCGGCAATCCTTCGGTCTCGGGAGAGTAAAACTGCTCGAGATTGTGGTCCGGATAATCGAAGACAGTGGAGGGTGGATTTGTGGCATTACTAGTAAAGGGGGAGAGCGAGATATCAAGGTGAGGAATCCGGTTATTCATCTCCTCAATGGCGAGCAGAGGAGTATTAGCAGGGGAGCCGTGTTCCGATCTCACACGACGATATTGGGCGAGGGGGCACTTTGTAAATCGCATCCGAGCTCGCGGACAACATTTCTGTTCAAGGACCTGTTTCACGTAAGGGAAAGGTGGACTGGCAGAACGTCTTTGCGGAGGCCCCGAGGACACATTGAACGGGTATTTTGACCCTGGTAACCGAAGTACGGGACTCCGCGCATTGGGGTGCAGTCACTGAGCCTAAATTTTTGCTGTGGTGAGGGAGAAAGAGAAAACCGGATACAGAAGGAATCCATACTTGAGTTCTGGATGGTTGCGCTTTGCTGCGCGGAGGGCCCAGCTCGGGGACGGTGTCCAGGTTGAAATCTCGTTTGGCGGCGCAGGTGCAGCGGGTGCCATGGCTACAGCAGCATTGCTTTTTCCTAGCTATTGGAGAGAGATTGTATAGAGTCAGGAGGCTGAGACCTCAATTTTTATATGTGTGCATATAAGCCTGGTTGTATGCTGCTCACCTTGATTGTTGCCGGTCTCCTTGACAGGACATTCCGCTTTGGTATGGGGCTTTTCACCACATTCGCACTTAGTGTGAGTCGTCCGAGCCTTGCGCAAGCCTCGACAGTGGGGGCACTGGGAAACCGGGCGACCTTTTTTATTTATGTGGCTCAAGGGTCGGTCTGTTGATCTAGGTTAGCAAAGTAGCAACTAAAGGGATAGGGATTTGGAGTCAAATGGTATAGGGGGAGTTTTTTTTTTTTTTTTTTTTTTTTTTTTCCTTTCTTATTTATTTTTTCATTTTTGGCACATACCTGCATGCTGGCAGTTGCTGACACGATGGCCGCGGATGCAAGCCTCGCAAGCCCACTTCTCGCCTTTGATCAACATGTCTTGATGGGTCGTCTGGAGTTTGAGAAATAGAAGCCCAAAAAAAGGAGGGAGAAGAGGTGAATATAAAAACGACCCTATTATTCCCTTATACGTAGTTCGGTATAAGCTGGGTGTGTGTGTGTGTCAAGTGGGAAGGTGAGGGGCGACAAATAGGCGGGAGAGATGAGCTTTGCGAGAGAAGCGTGTGGGTTGATTACAACGGCCGCGGTAGGTGGTAG